CTGCTTTTGCTGTATTTTGGATCAAATAAATGCAGGCTTGGTGAGCAGAAGAGACTTCTTTAAAAACATTAAAAATATTTTTTAAATAAAATATATATGTATATATATTATAACCAGGATTCATATATATATGATGTATGAGGAAGCCTCATTCAGGTTATTATCATGAACTAAAACTAAAAGAAAGCACTTATTTTATTTCAGCTAGCTGCCAAGGCATTTCTCATTTCTATTTAGTTCAAGTTGAAATATTAAAATAACAAAAAAAAAAAAAAAACACTTTATTAAAACGAATGAAATGCCAAAAATGCACAATAAAATTACTAAAACTTTAACTTAAATTAAATTACATTAATTTACATTACATTAAATTCTTAATCAAAATATTCACAAAATCTGTTATAGTACCTGAAGATCATTCAGTTCTTAAAACTTCTGAAATCTTGAAATTAAATTGTTTTCATTTTAATTATAATAATTTTACTTTTATTTAAAAAAAAATAATAATTTTATTTTTATTTTAGTATCATTGACTAGTTTTGAATACAATTCTTTAAGGTTTTAGTTTTTTTAATATGTCTGTATAACTTTTATTAATTTTTATGTCAATTTTAGTTTCTGCTTTTTTCGTATATAAAGTTAAACTAAATCAAAATAAGAAATGTTGACTTGGCATTGCTGAAATAAAAGAATTTGTATATTTTATTATATTATATTAAATGTTTTGCTTTTTTAACTATTTTAGTTTTTGCTGACTGTAATAACCCTGAAATATATTTGATATAAATCAAAAACTTTGAAAACAAAAATTTGTATTTACAGAAACATATTAGTCTACATGAGGGCCTTGAAATATTGCGGAGGACAATGTAGGGCCTTCGAGTCAAAAAAGTTGAGAAGCGCTGCTCTAAGATCAATCATTCTCTCTTTTAACGTCACTTTTAACTCGTGCTGTTTGTCTGACGGTCGTGTCTCGTGTCTCCACAGGTGGTGCGGGCGGCAGAAGAAACGGCGTCCACGCTGGCCGGATCCATCCACTCGGAGCAGTGCATCAAAGTCCTGTGTCCCATCATCCAGACGGCCGACTATCCCATCAACCTCGCCGCCATTAAAATGCAGACCAAAGTAATCGAGCGCATTCCCCAGGATTCCCTGATTCAGCTCCTGCCCGACATCATCCCGGGACTCTTACAGGTACACACACACACACACACACACACACACTCACACACACACACACACACACACACACACACACACACTCACACTCACTCACTCACTCACTCACACACACACACACCTGTCTGTGCTCACACTGATGAAAACTTTGAGATGAACGTGTGTGTGTTTCAGGGTTATGATAACACAGAGAGCAGCGTACGCAAGGCCAGTGTGTTTTGTTTGGTGGCCATTTATTCTGTCATCGGTGAAGATCTGAAGCCTCATCTACAGCAGCTGACCGGCAGCAAGGTCAGATATTATCTCTATGGTAGCTTGTTGCAGTGCATTCTGGGATTCCCTTTACTTCCCTACAAAAAATACACTAGTGGTCAAAAGTTTGGAAAAAGTTTTTTTAAATGTTTTTGAAAGAAGTCTTTTCCGCTCACTAAAGCTGCATTTATCTAATCAAAAATACAGTAAAGATTGTGAAATATTATTTCAATTTAAAACAACTGTTTTCTATTAGAATATATGTAATTTGTTCCTGTGATGCGCAGCTGAGTTTTCTTCAGTGTCACATGATCTTCAGAAATCATTCTAATATGCTGATTTACTGCTCAAGAAACATTTCTGATTATTATCAATATTGAACACAGTTGTGCCACCCAATATTTTTTGTGGAACCCGTGATACATTTATTTTTCAGAATTCACAGATGAATAGAAAGTTCAAAAGAACAGCATTTATTTGAAATAGAAATCTTTTGTGACATTATAAATGTCTTCACTGACACTTTTGATCAGTTTAATGCATCTGTGTTGAATAAAAGTATTATTTTCTTTCAAAATATAAACATTTCTTACTGACCTTAAAATTTAAATGGTAGTGTATATGTGATGATGCCTTTTGTTTTTTTGCCTAAATATGAGGTCTCTTAGAAAGCAGCATAATGTACCAGTGTTATTTTAGTATTATTGTTATACTATAATAGTTTTTGTAAATATTTTGAATGGATTTTATTTTTATGTTTTTATTTTAATTTCACTTTTTACAGTTTTAGTAATTTTGTTTTTGTCAGTTTTTTTTAAATATGTCTATAGTTTTTATTAAGGTTTTTAGTTTAGTTGATTTAGTTTTAGTTATTTTAGCGGTTCAACTTAAAAAAAAAAACCAATGAGAAATGTTGCCTTGGCAACTAGCAGAAATAAATGAATTTTTTTAATATATTTTTTATTTCTTGTAATGCTATTTCAAGTATAAAAAATGATTTTACGGTTTTAGTTGCCTATAATAACCCTGTAAAGGTTCCTTTCTTTTTATTTTGTGAGAGTTTTCAGCAGTGCACCTGTGATGACCCCTTATAATACTGTCTATGTAGGCAGCTGACGTGTCTGATTTTCTCTCTACAGATGAAGCTGCTGAATCTGTACATCAAGCGAGCTCAAACCACCAACAGCAACAGCAGCAGCTCTTCAGACGTCTCGTCTCACAGCTGAATCACTCCTCCATGCGTCCTCAAGCGCTCTCCTGTGATTTTGCACATTTGCGAGTAGATCTCTAGCTGCGCGTGCGCATTCGCTTCATTAAAGGGCACGTGATTCATTGAACAGGTGCAAACACTTACACCATTCAACCAGAGCCCGCCGAGGTTTGTGATCAGCTGCGTTTGTCCAACATGCTGCGTGTGTGTATGTGTGTGTGTGTGTGCAGCAGTCGTGCCTCTGTGTGTAAGAGAAACTGTTTTTATTGCTCTTTTACCGTTGCTGTGGCGTTTATCGTCCTCATATTCAAAGCACATGTAATGTTCTGTCCGATCGGCCAATCAGGAGTCGTCTTGCCTCTCATTGGTGAATGTAACGCCTATTTTTACATCTTTAACGCTGCTGCCTCAAGTTCTCTAGGATGCTCTTTTAGTGACGAGAATCATTTTTGGCCATTTAAGAATATGCAAGAAGCGAGATTGTATTTGTACAGTATTTGTTTTATTTCCGGCCAACAGGCGAAGAGCTTTTGACTGTAAGAACGATGAATATTAGCGCAAATTTAGTTCAAAATCTCACATTCCAGCGCTGAAGAACCATGATTATTTCAACACTAACATGGAGATTTATGATAAATGTGTCTCCTTTTTTTATTTAAGGACCACATTGATGGGTTTTTGTGTACAAAATATACAATTTGATAATCTGAGAAATAAATAATTCAGTGAGAAAGTATTAGAATCTTCCTCAGAAATGATCCAAAACAAAACTGAATCATTACATTAAAGATTCACTTACACACACACACTAGATGTATGATACAAATCAACGTAAAAGCGGAATTCTAAACTTTTTAAAGCGATAATTGTAACTAAAAATAATCCAAATTGGATTTTTACTAGTTAATTGCTGTTTTAACCCAGTTGTTGTGCTTTAGGAAGGTTTGCGCCTGTTTGTGCCGTTTAAAGTGCTCTGTTAGTCTTTTTGTACCCGGTTTTAAATCTTGGTGCTGAAATGAATCACTCTGTGCTTTTGCTGGACGTTTAACTTCAGATTTCATTCGTTTTTCCTTTCTCTGCTTTGATTTGAAAGGCCTTACAGCGGTTTATGAAAAGAAATCTCGTTAGAAATCCCAAAGAACATTCCGCACAAAAAAGGTGTGAATCATCTACAATCCTTCTAGTAATGATCCATTTAGATTAAAAAAGATACTATATTTTAAACATTTCTTATTTAGGAGATTTCTGGACTCTGCATGCAGGCAATCTTTCACTACACAAACGCCACTACTGTTCACTTCATTATATGTGAAACTAAGAGAATCAAATATGATATTTGTAAATACTTTATAGGGCACTACATACAGACCTGCTTGAATCTTTAATTCAGTTTGACGAGAGCAACTCAGATCATTGAGTAAACCCCTAGTTAACTGGATGAAGTTGGTTAACTGAAGGGAGTTTTGCATCAACGCTTTGCTAATGGAGGTAGATTGAGACATAGAGCTTCACATGCTGCGCATGCTTATGTTTAATATCCACGTCTGTATTTATTTGACACTGCTGCTGTATATACGACCTGGTTTTGTTCACGCTCACCTGTGTAGAATTTGCTCTAGATAAACCAAACCTGAGTTTTCCACTTCTGTGTCTGCGTGAGTTTTATTTTGTGTCATTATTGCACTGGATATGATATGAATGATTTCTGATTATGCAGCGGCTTGTCATCTGTTCTTTAAATATTCATCCAGGTGTTGATATTGAGGTTATTGATGGTGATTCACTGCTGGTTTAAAGCTGACGTTTTCTCGTTCGGATCTGTCGACGTTCTCTGTGAGTTTTTAATCAGGTCAGTCAGGGATTGTGATGAAGAGACATGCAATGTTTTAATTGCAGGATGTTTCGTCAGAGCAGGAAACTTCAGTTGAATTCATTAATGGCCAAATAATGATTTACTTTTTATATATGGATAATAAAAATAATAGTATATTAAATAATGTCATTTTTTTCAATCTGATGTTTTAACATTAATCATCTGCTGTTTTAATTTCAAAGGCTGAATTTTAAGAACAGGCCCAAATCATATTTTACCCCAAAATCAAAAATAAAATAAATAAAGCCTGTTGTAGGCCATTAACAATTTGTGAAGACATTGTGATTGTCAATAGGCTGTCTTTAAATAAGTTACCTTTGCATTATGTAAATTTGATGCATTTGAAATGGAGAATTTGATCTTAAATATGTTAAATTATCAATATCCTTTAATAATTCACTTTCGCATTTTGCAAATTTCAAATGGAGAATGTGATCTTAATCAAGGTTTGATTTTGGCATTGGTGGGGATGTAACGGCAGACATTTAATTGTTTGATCAAAATTATTGTTAGGGACATTTTAGTAGTGTCTGATATCAGCAGGATCATGTCATAGCATCTCTACTAAATTCTACACCCTTGAAAATCATAACAAGCGATGTCTGACTTGGGAAAGTATAGTTCTCTCCTTAAGACATGCTTTTTTTGGGGCGTTAAGTAATGGCGCATATACCAGTAATTTGATGAGTGCAAACGTTAGTAAAACGCATTGCGTGATTCATTTGAATACTCTCCTCCTCCCATAAATTTTGCATCTGAAAGGGAAACTCCTATTCAATAAAGAATCAGATTCAATAAAGAAACGCATATTCAATAAGGTCAGGCGCAAAAATAACGGTGCCCACTCCTTTTCAGCGCTAATTCTTCAAGTTATCAATACCTTTGGATGTTGTACAAAGTTTAATTTGAGAATTGGATCTAAAATATGTTTGACTGTCATGAAAATAATGTCAGAATGCCAAAAAATCTGGTGCTGAAACAGAAGTAGTTTTTTTTTCCAGTTGATTTCGGGTGGAATATGACCTGAACATGTTAAAAGGCTTTGTGAGACTGAGTTAAACCTCTCAGAAAGTCTCTCTCTGGCTCTGCTTCTCTCTGTCCATCCGGCTGAAGGTCACGGGTATCAGTAATGAGATGCTTTTTCATCTGTCACTCTGATGTCTGAAGACTCAGAAGACCCTTCACAAGTTTCAGTCTTTGTAGTCATTACCTGCACGTCATTCTGTCCTTTGGTTATCTTACTGCTGCTTTTCTATCTTACTATGTACTTTTAATGGATTTATTGTTTAATAAGAGGTGACATGAAATCCATGATTGACTTTTGGAACAGTTTATGACTGGAGAATTATTAATTATGAAGGTAATCTCACTTCTGTGTCCCACCAGCAGGTGGAGATAAAACGAAGCTGAAGCTCTTGAAGGATCAGATTCTGGACATTGAAGACTAGCATACTGCATACTGCACACTATACTCAAGGTTCATGACTTTGCATTTGGGTTTACCAGATGAGATGTTTTTTATTTTTTTTATCGTTTATAGGGATTTATAGAGAGTGTTATGTAATTACACTGGGGGGAAATGGTGTAGAATTTACTTTATTAAATAAATGTACAAAAAAAATAAATAATTCAAGTATCACATTGAATTAAGTGTGACATTTTAAAGTAGAAAGACTGTATTTTACAGAAAGAATAGTATTTTCTTGTAAAACCTACCCAAATAATGTTTTATTAACTTAGAAATATAACTTTTTTACAGTTGTACTCATAACATTCTATTTTTTTTTATTATTATTCATTTCCATGATTTTGTACATTTTAAAATTCCTTGATATTTTATGTTTTACATGAACCATTATACTGGATACTGTTTACTATTTAATAACTGATAGCAGCTCTCAGTGTTATGTGTTGGGTCCCCGCTATAATAGCAGCAACATTCACAAATGTTTACAGAACAAGCGGGAACCCAGTGTGCCTGTAGTTTTCTCTATTTCTGTTTTATCACGTGATAGAAAGTCTAAGGCCTTCTCAAGCCGTACGGCTGACTCATCTAATCTGCGGCCTGTTATGCATCAAACTAATATTGCTGTTGAGACAAAATGCAATGCCATCAAGTTAGCATTTTTAAACATTCGCTCACTGAAAAATAAATAATTTCTAATCAATGACTTAATAACCACAAACATACTGGATTTTATTTTTCTAAATGAAACATGGCTAGAAGACAGCTGCAGTGCAACAGTCCTCAATGAAACAGCCCCTCCTAACTTTACTTTCATGAGTGTTTGCAGGACTGTTAGGAGAGGTGGAGGTGTAGCTGCTCTATTTAAAGATGTCTATCAATGCAAGCAAGTGTCATTTGGTCAGTACTTGTCTTTTAAATATCTGAGTCCCACAAGGCTCAATTCTTGCACCGCTCTTGTTTAGCCTGTATATGCTCCCACTAAGTCAAATAATGAGGAAGAACCAAATTGCCTATCACAGCTCTGCTGATGATACCCAGATTTACCTAGCCTTATCTCCAAATGACTACAGCCCCATTGACTCCCTCTGCCTATTGTTGTGATTATTTTTTTTCTTTTCTTTTATGTAAAGCACTTTGAATTACCATTGTGTATGAAATGTGCTATATAAATAAACTTGCCTTGCCTTGCCTATTTTAGTCTATGTGAAACAGCATGTGGTATATGCCATGTTAAATATTTCAAACATAATTTTTTATTGCAAAGAAGAAACAGCACTGCATTTGAAATACATAAAACATGAAAGGAAAGAGTTGGAGGTGTGGAACTGTTATCTTAAACTTAAATTTGTATGATCAAATAATGAGTCAAAAAAGAAATAATTGTGGCATATAGTGTAATATTTTGTCAAATGTAGTATGCATACTGCAAAACGTGTGCTAGTAGTATGATGCAATTCCGACCCTACTTGTGGCTTTACTTAACATTTACAAACTTCTCAAAGTCTCTCGTGCACTATGCAGAGATGAGTATTATAAAGCATGAAAGAAGCTCGATCGTGTCGCAAACATCTTGCTTTATAGTCCCAGATATAAAAGTAATTTTGTCAAAGCGTCCATTCGTCCTCTGAGATAATCGTGAAATGACAGAACGCTGTCTGAATCATGAATGGCACGATGATAATCATTGATGTCTGGAGAGGTACATGTGTCCTGACACACCATCACTGTCCTGCGGTCAGAAGAAGAGCATCATCATCATCATCATCTGCGATGGAGACGCAGTGAAGCTGAAAATAGCGGGATGGCGCCTGATGATCTGTGATTGTGTTAGTCTGTGAGATCAGCCGCTGACAGAGCCCTTAACACGGAGAAATTGATTTACTGTAGACTTCATTCAGTGTGATTAATCAGTGGTGAAATATCATGAGTATCCATTTATGGCACAGTTTGCTGACACTAAAAGAATGAAGAATTAGCATAGTCACTTTCTTAATCGTCTTATTGTCAACTATTTATCCATCCCGTTCTCTTGGCAAAATGCAGATATTTTACGAGGTAACGTTACTGATTTCTTCGTTCGAAAACATTAGTGATGTCCGGTTCGCGAACGAATCGTTCGATTTAACCGGTTTTTCTTAGTGAACCAAAAGTTCACCAAATCGGACTGAATCGTTTGAAACGGTTCGGGTCTCCTGTAAGCATTAATCCACAAATTACTTAAATTATTCACTTTTTTTCAACGTGGCTGACTCTCTCTCTCTGCTCAGAGACTCAAGTCGAAATAAACCAATATCCCGGAATAATTAATTTACTCAAACAGTACACTGATTGAACTGCTGTGAAGAGAGAACTGATGATGAACACGAGCAGAAACGTATGAATTTTAGAAGAAAACATGTAAGCAAGCATGAAAGCCCCGCCCCTAAATAATCGTCACTGGCGCGTGAGTAGATTGTACGAATTCAAAACATGAAATAGTTATGAACTGATATGAGATTGTGTTGATTTACCAGTGCACGTAATTTTGAAGGTGAAGAAATGCATTCGAAACACTGATCTATAATATTTATATAGATCAGTGATCCGAAACGACTTTCGTTGCCGCTGACGTCATCAATGCCACTTATTTTTTTTAGACGCGTTCATGTCAAGACGCCATCCAACCAATTA